AAATACAAACTTTTGCCAAACCCTTATTGATGGGTGATATTAGAAGTTGGTGTTTCCATTTACAAATCACAACTCACCATTTTTTAAGCATTTCACTTGTTAAAACAATAACTTTTTAGTTAATATATTTTTATAATGCATAAAAGATAGTTCAAAATTTTTTTTCTTAATATGTACTCTAATTCCTATTAGATAATTTTACTTTATAATAAAAAAATTTAAATCATCATTTATATTAAAAAAATACTTAAACATGCACATAATCACAAATAAAAACACACAATACTTAGTACTATGACAAGTTGACAACCGTGATGTAACGTTTGACAAAGAGGAGAAATGTGAAGTTGATGAAAATTGTGAAGATACCCCCCAGTAAATATTATTGGAATTTTTTAAGATCACCTCCTGGTCCTCCTCCTCCTCTGTAATTGACTTGGCGCGGTACCCAAGGCAAGGCAAGGCAACGCAAGGCAAGGCAAGGCGAAGAAAGATACGCAAAGGGGACCTCAAAATCCAGCATGTAGCCAAAGGCTGACACGGCGGCTAAGAGGCCCTTCCGCCCCCACCACCACACTACTTGTCTCTCTCTCTCTCTTTCTCTTTCTCTTTCTTTCTTTCTTTCTTTCTTCCCAGACACCGCAAACATCAAACGCACATGTTCAACACCCACAATTCCAAACCTAACCAATCAAAAACAAAACAAAATAGATTTCTCCGATTTCCATTTGCTCTGTTGCTTACGGCACACCGATTTCATCAATTCCCTACGATTTGAGAAGGAATCGGGAGCTGACTTTTCTTTTTCTTTTTCTTTTTTTAATGAATTTGGTTATTTTCGGTTGGATTTGAGGTTTTCCTTGTGGGTATATGGAGATGGAGGTCTCGCTTTCCGATTCAGATGCGTTGATGGTGGGTGTGGAGAGGAGGAGGAAGGTAGCGGAGAAGGATCGGGTTCGGGTGAAGAGGAAGACTTTGGAGGTCGTGCTCGAGCAGTGCCAGAGAGCTTTGGAATTGCTCAGTAACGTCGATAGCCTTGACGATGATGATGAAAACATTGGCGATAAAGGTGGCTCGGAGCTGGACGAGGATAAGAGCCGTCACTGCTCGTCGGCTCCTCCCGGAGATCAGGAGGCCAATGAGGTACCTTGATTAGTTCCGTTTTGCTCTAAGTTCTCCTTTGATTTTTGCTCTATTTGCTCGGATATTGAGAAAAGCTGGAAAAGGAAAGAAATTTGAAGTCTGAATCTCATATTACTTGCTTCTCTTAGGCTGCTAGAGATTACTAAGAAGCTTAGATGTTAAGCTCTAATTTTGGTAGATTTTCTTTGTCATCTATTAAACAGGTAGCATTTGTACCTCCTTAAAAATTTCTGCAGGAGATTTTTCTAGTTGGGTTATAAGTAATTAGTTCGTTGGATGTGATGTCAATTTCAGCTTAGATCAAATGTTCAAAACAAATGAATGAATGTGTATCAGCTCAATTTAGTTTTTGCTTGGAGATTGGATAATTGGGTTTTTGTTGGTTGCTTCAATTGTGTAATGATGTTGACCATGTATCAGTTTGATGCTTCCTTCTATTTGCTTGTGAAAAAGTAAACATATTGTAATGGGTGTTATGGCAAAATAGTAAGAAATTTTTATAGCATTTGCTGTGAGAACCTCTCTCCAACGTAGAGCTTAACTTTATGTTTCATGATGATCATTTCAATTACCACTGTTAAATTAAAAGTACTGGAGAATTCAGGGGGATGTGAAATAGTGTTTTTATAATTAGAATTGTTAAGTCTCTGTTTCTCACTGGTGATATTCCTCCTTTGATCGTCCAAATGGTAAATGTTTTTTCTGTTTTTTTTGGTCAAAATTAAGCATGTATGTGGCACTTTTCTAAATAGCATGGCTGTCTTGTGCCTTTCTAATGCAGTTGTGCGATCTTCTCAAATCTAGAGTTGAGTGCCCTGACTTCCTTGAAAAGCTCAAATGTGCTCGGGTGTCAGTCAAAGAAAACCTTGCTGGTATGCATCCAAAGATGGTCTATTGTACAATAATTGGCTAATTATTTTGTGCATGTTCTGGATGCTGATTGAAGTTATTTTGTGGAGTAGAAGAATGTAGCTCCTGGGACGTGGTCAATGAAAATGATCTTTGGGAAGATGACTATGGTGATTTGAATGAAGAAGATTATGTTCTTGTTAGGCAAGAAGATATACTAGATGGCATTGCATGCTTTATGACTACGTACTTGTTGTCCCTTAAACAGACTAAGGTATGCAAATTCCCTGCTCGTTGCCAATATCAACCTTTTCTCCAATCAGTGAATCTAAGAATCTCATTTGAATCACTATCTTAGACTTTGAGTGCAATCATTGGCATAGCTGTGTAATTGAACAACTCAGTTTCCCTTATAATTTCCTAGTATCATATTGGATATTGCTTCCATGTCAATATATTTCTATTTGGCCAAGTTATGGTCTGTTTCAGGCCATACGTGCAATTGAAATAATGGTAAAAAAAACTTATCAAGTTACTGATGTGAACAGAATCCTTTTACTCCTTGGTTTAAGAAGCCAAGTTTTGTTGGTTTTATATTTCTCTGGCCTTTCTGTGGAGCACACTTAGCAAAATTTCCTATGAGCTATATTCATCATTAGCTATGTTGTAGGGGATGCTAAAATGTTTATTTTCTTCTGTTCAGGATTTGACCCCCAATCAACTTCAGGAAGGTGAGTCTTGGTTCTAGTAAGGTTGGCTCAATTTATTTCTTTTTTGTTTTTTATTTTTTTCCTAAACTTCATTCATCTTTCCCTTTTCTATTGTGTCATATGCTGTAATCTGTAGGATTTTTTGTTCGCAGCAATCTGCAGAGGTATTCTAACACTCTTTTGAATTCTCTTGTAGCCCTCAGCAAGACTTTCTCTGTTAAAAAGAAGAAAGGGAAGCTTCGGAAAGCTTGGGATGGAAGTAAAGTTATTTATAATGTTGCGTCCTGGGGAGCAACAGCTATTGGGTAGGTTATAATTTTAGTTTTAGATGAGGAATTGTTTATAATGTGGCATCATCTAGGCATTGATTGTACCCATCATTTTTCGTTTATCACTTTTTCACTAATCTTGTATGTTTGTCCGTTTGCTCCTACAGGATATACCAAAACCCCGTAATTATTAGGGCTGCTACTAAAGTATTCTGGACTTCTTGCGATGTCATATCAAAGCTTCTCTAACTTGCTTGTGCTGCTGGGAGAATGGTTCTAGATGTTGGAATTGACTGTTGTATTTGTGCTTGTAGCTGCCAATGTAGCTTGGTGTTCCGCCGGTTGTTTTACATCAATAACATTCTTTTCATGCCATGTATCCGTTCATCTTTCTAAATTTAATCATGTAAATATTCCTTGTGAAGCATTCCTATTCATTGATAAGCTGATTATTCTGCCTTTGTGATCACATCAACGTTACGTACTTGTAGATAACCATGGAGCTAGATTTATACTTCCGTATATGTTATGAATGCCAAGTGATTGGCAGATGTTACTAAAACATCTCTTTCATCTTGTGTGGCAACTTTTTAATTTTTACTTAAGTTGCACGGATTGTATGTATAATTTAAAATGTTGTTTATTTATAATTTTAAGAATGGTATCCTGGGAATTTAAATTTGTATTGTATTCTTATTTTCTGTTTTACTGTTTCGCATTCCTCTCTTGTTTTTCGTTTGGGATAAGGTCAGACTAAACTTGGGAGGTTTTTTTTCCTTGGGAGTAAGCTATTTCTTCAAGTCTATTCAAATAAAAATGTTCCGGCAACACGAAAGCGCAATTCTTTCCTTTTCCAAATTGATTTCCAAAATTCTCCATTCACAACTCATAAACAGCCGCAGATTCACAGAATTTTTTGGTTTTAATAGGTCAAAAACACGCCATGGGATTGCTTCTATAAAGGATATTTATGAATTTTTGACAAAGTTGAACAATGAAGATATTTTGCTTGACTATGGTTTAGGAAATTACGCTACATGACTTTACCATTGCTTACAAATTTCGCACATTAATTATAAATAAATAAATATAATGAAACATTTTTTTAAAAAAGCCTCAGTGATTAAAAACTTGATCCTTTATATTGAGGATCTCAAAGTCTAACCTTAGGATAAATGGGTAGGAGTATAAAATGCAAAGAATTATATCCCGATTGGATAACCCGTTATTATGTACCAAAAAAATAAATGAGATTGTGGTGCGGCTTCAGACAAGTTATTGGGTAACCCCCAAAGAAAACGAGGAAAAATCATTTTTCTCAGCATATATTCTATACCAATATGTGTAAACATTATATATGTAGAGCAGCTGAGCACTTGCTCCCTTACAAAATTGGAAGAGCTACCATTGTAAATTTCGATGACCAAATGCAGTCATCACTTATCTGTTTGCCACCAGGCTGTAGAGATTATCTCATCTCACAGCAACTTGTCCACGACATTTTCCAAGCTCCATTCTTTTTTCAAAATGGACCATTAACTTATTGACATCTGCATCTTAACCATATCTACTACCATCTAATAGTAGTATCCATTGTCTTTGTGGTTGGGGGCATCTTTGCCGAGCATGGAGCGCACTTCCATGATAGATCTTGGCGGCTCCAGGTCTTTCTCTTGTAGTGAGTTACCAAGAAGTTGTTGCATCTGGGATGCAAAGGTATCATCCAGAATCTGCAGATCAACAATAAGTACATGTTAATTTTAAGTTTGAGGCAGTAGGTAAACATGGAAGAGAAGAACCTTCTAAAATGACACAAGGCAAACAATGGAGTGGGATGCAGTTCAAAGAAAGCAGTGTTTCTTGATTTGAGTAACTTCCACCCAGATATTCAAAGTTTTTTGACTTGTCTAGCCTCACCTGACTTAGCTCATAATAGAAATTAGATGTGCTTAACCAAAAATTGTGAGCAAAGTGCAACAGAAAGCTTGACTTTAGAGACATCCAGAACCTTATAGCAACTAAATAGCCAATTGCCAATACTACTTCTAGGACAACATCCACAGTGATGATTCTGTCTACATAAGAAAAATCACCAAGAAACTACTATAGGTAGAATTATGATCTTTGATCACTTTTACAGTGCTTTTGGCCTAAGAAGAGCATTTTAGATCAAACCAAGATCAATTTACCAACTAGGAAAGGCATAAAAACTTTTTCTCACTAAGCACTTGTTACCCTCTAGGAAAATCTTAGAACAAACACCAAGCATTTTAGTTTCTATCTCTAACCAGAACCAAGCACCGTAGGGACATGAATTTCAACAAGTTAACAAGTTGCAAGGTTGGAACTTGGAAGCTTTTACTTACAGATACAGCAATTCTTGTGCCTTTATACCATGATTTATTTTCTTTCCGGTTCTCCAAGAAACTTAGAACGTCCTGTCAAAGGAGAATCATGTAAGCTTTCCACCCTGCTTAACAAAGGTCAAGAATGCAAATCATTTACCATATCAATCACATGTAACTTACCTGCCCTATCCGATCCCAGTACGATCGACAGATTGCAATGAAGACATTGGTCTCAAAGACAGTATGAAGATGATTTATCGTATTTACCAATTGATCTTTCAGTGGCTGCATTCTGCTTCGAATATCAGACTCTCCAACCATTTCTTTTGAGTCTTGGAGAATCTTCTTCAATTTTGTTGAGTTCTGCAACTTGGTCTGGTGGGGAAAAAAATGAACTCAATGACACAATGCTGACATTGACTGAATTAAGTAAATTGACTTCAGTCAGAAACAAAGAACCCTTTGGACTGCATGAGGATGATGGAAAGAAGCACCAGATAAGGTACATATAGTTTACTTTTATAGTGTACATATAATTTTATGGATTGTCATTTTGTGTTTGTGCATGGTAGGTGGTTAGTGGAGGGGAACAATTTCCAATGAGAACACTACCAGAAAGAAAAAAAAAAAATCAACTAGCTATGACACAGTAATGGCTGAAAGTAGATCCACAAGCCCAATGTTTGACAGAAGAGAATAGGCATTTATTAACAGACAAAACCAATCATTAAAAATTGGCTTTAGGGTTCACTATCAAAGTCTTCTTTTTTTTGGCTTATCATGGTTTGAGATTCTTTTAGACCTATTTTTGGCGAATTTAAGGGGTACCTTTAGTTAAATAATCAGTTTCACACTTTCACCTATATTCTGGGCGTTTATAAACCATTGTAGCTATTTCCAGTTGATGATCTATGCTGAAAAATTCCTTTTTCTTTCAAAATTTATATTGCTTTTTGATTTGCATCATACTCAGTTAAAAAAAAAAAGAAGTTAAGAAAGACACTGTTTCCTTTCAAAGATAATACTCACATTCTCTGCAAGTTTTTCAACAACAGCTTGAACATAGCTTCTGAACTTGGCTCTCAACATCACTGTAACTTCACTAAGACGCTCCCCAGGAGCAGTGTTTCCACCAGCAGGAATGCAAGAACCCCATGATTTACACTGTGCCTCTATCTTGGGGCGTAGGATATCAAGCATCCTTTTCATGGAATTCAACAGGATTCCAAGCTGAAGTCCAAAATGAAATTCTTAAACCAAAAATAGCATTCAAAAAAAGAACACCTGATGACTAAAAAATTAATGGCTCACCTCATCAGGAACCATATAGGAGCATACCGATCGTTTGGTAAATTTCTGCACATACTTGAGGCCAAATTTCTTAGGTGCCAGATTTTCCTTCAGCGGGGATAGAACATCTGCATATTGCTTATCCAAGGCTTCCAATACTGCCTTCTCAACATCAGCAATGGCCTTTTCATAGAAACACAACCCAAATAAGTAAAATAATAATTTCTGCTTTCACAAAAGTAATGGCCAAGCAGAAACTATATCAGTTGAAACTTTAGAACAAAAAGACAATTTATCCCATCCCCCTTCCCCCATAGAGCATCCAACTAAGCATTCCCTCTGTGTATGTGTTCTGATTTTTTTTCTTTAAAAACCTTGAAGTTCTAATTTTTTTCCTTTGAAGACCTTGAAGTTACTTTATGCAAAAAAGAGCATGGTAACAATAGCTGCATGAAGTACATCATGGTGCATAGATTCCCAATTATAGGAACTACTACTAGTATTTCATGTCTTTCATCCCATAACCATATTAAACACAGGAGTCTTATAAGTAGATGACAGACTTGACAAGGTTGCAACCAATGTATTGTAGGAGAGGCAGACAGGGGAAGGGAAACTTCTAAAGGGAACAAACAATACAAACTCATATAAATAACTATTTATGAAGCACTTGCAGATAAAAAAAAGAAAAAAGAAAAGAAAAAAACTATTTGCAATGCACTTTAGTGATAAATGATGATTGAAAAAAGAACAAAATTTGGATGATAGAACATACATTCTCCAGCACAAAAACATATTCTGGCCATCGACTTATGATGACTTCATAGTCACTCAAAGTCCCTTTCAACCGCTCATACATTTCATCAACAAAAGGAGTAGTTGAATGTTGTGTCCTAACTCCGGACCATTTCACCTGTACAAGTAAATAAGTTTCAGATAAATACTTAAGAACAAAATTAGGAAATTTCTTGAAAAAAGAAAATTTCATAAATCTCTACAGTCCTGATAAAATACAATATTCCAAGACGATGTGTATCTAAAAGGTCATGTGTATTATTGAATTCTTTTACGAGGAAAAAGAGCATTGTTGCATGGTTGGACATGGTAATATGCACTTCTGATCTTCATTCGGTTAGGGTATATTACAAACTAAGTTAAAAGCAAGAAATAAAGGCAACTGAATTCTCCATTTCATCATGACAAATATCTGAAAGCAAATAACATTCATCAAGGGATATTCTTTTATCAATTTCATCAGTATGTCCAGTAGTACTTTTACTGCTTAAAAAATTAAAACATACCTTGTCCAATTTACATGATTCGAGCAGAGAAAGGCGCTTATCTTGAATCCATACCATGATATACAAGTCGAATAATTCTTTGGCATCTACTCCACCTCTCACATGACTGATGAGGACATAAACTGAATTAAAAAAGGAATTGCAAAAGAAACAAACTACCATGACAGCAATGGACCCAAGCATTACCTCAAGTTCCAGTTGGCAAGATCCCACTGGAAATCTGCTGTTGCAATGACAAGTTCAGCAACAGGTGGTGAAAGGCCAGAAGGTGGACATGCAAGAAGGAATGCACGCAGTCTATTACAAAGCTCCGTGCTGTATAGGGATGTGGACAAATTTGGGAGGTCTATAAAACTGCAAACGGCATAGCTCATAGTTAGACAAACTTGCAGATTGAACTCTTGATTTCTGAGACTGATCTTTCAGTATCTCCCCAAATCAATTACAAAGAGTCATCATCTGAATATTAGTGTACATGTACACACAATTTAACACAAATGAAATTAAACAAAATCTAAATGAAAAGCAAACCTGGGAAGTATATGTTGGTTGTGAATTTCAATGTCAGTAAAAATCTCATTTTTGATGTTTACACAAAGGGAAGTCATCTTTTGGTAAGCAGTAGACATGGCAACAGTGTCCATGGAATTGGGCTCATTGTTGTTGCTAACAAATTCATCTGTCTCAGACAAGTGCCTTCTTGATCTTTTTCTTGTAGCAGCCTGTATAGATACTACAATTAGAAACTTGGAAACACAAGCTAATATGATCTAATGTCATCAAGAAACTCAATTTCTGATTTCAGTAAAAATAAAAAAATTAAAAAAAGAAAGAAAGAAAGAAAGAAAGAAAGAGATTCGATTTCTTAAACCTGGAAATAGTGACACATATTATTCTGTGCCTCTGGAGATAATATGTCATGAAGAAGGGTGTACAGTTTGACAGCAGGTTCCAGTGCAGGTGCTGCAAGTCCAGTTGCAGGCTTGAAGACATCCAGAATGCCTGAGAGTGATGATTCATCAAGTGACTTATAGTTTTCAAAAACTAGAGAAAGGATCTGCTCTATCTGGTCTTTGGCTTCTGCCAAGATACGGTTCTAAAAAAGCACCCAAAAGAGATCCATATTATGTCAGAAGAGTAATGAGAAGCAAAGTTAAAAACAAAATAAATCAAATAGAGCATAGAACACTGAATCACAAGCACAAAGAGGCATGGAAATTAACATGTATAAAAAGTCCTGTCACACAAATAAACATGGTAATAATGGAGATCATGCAAGAACCACCAACATCACAAAAGGGGGAATTTTAAGACATACCTCTTGATGACTCAGTGTGCTCTTGCTGTTTCCCTTCATAACAACAGGCATTAACAACTCATACACCAGATTGAGACAGTCAGCTGTAGGTGTGGCAACATCCATCACATAGGAAAGATAACTGAAATAGTTGTAAATCAGAGATGTAAGCACTAGGAGTCCTAGAATAAGGTATTCCAATGCTCCATCATTTTTAATAGAAAAGGCAAACAAAATAAGATTTGAGTACCGCAGCTTAGTGTAGACATCAGAAACCCCATAATATGAGGCAAATTCTGTTAATAGCCATTTCCATGAACCATACAACAGCAAATTTCTTTGTT